TGTTTTCCCCACATTTTGCTTTCCTAAATGACTGAAAATGAGGGCCGGCTCACAAACACTTGGTGGCCAAAAGCAAAAACAAACTTAGCATCTCACTGTAGTAATAGCTTGTGGAAAAACGTCACCTTCAGCAGCGGGGTGTGGAGGAAGGGAGGAGGTTGTTGCAGTTTGTGTGTATGTGTGTGTATGTGTTTGGGTGAGGGGGTCGCTGGGGCAGTGGAGGAAAAGTGGGGGAAGCAAACTTGGGACGCATGTGCTGCAAATTAGGCTTTGATAGGCAGCTCTCGGAGTAGGGAGCAGCGGAGGAGACAAGAGTGCGGGTGTTTCTGCATGGCTGCAGACTGCTGCACCTCGGGGGCCGACTGACCCGGGTGTGAGAGGAGGAAGAAAGACAGCAGGCTGTGATGAACACTTGCTCGCTCTTTCCCTCCTTCTGTCTCACTCCCTCGCTCTTTTGCCCTATCCGTAGCCCCTGGGGAACCCTTTGCACGCACCTCTAAGCAGCCTCTGTATACTCACTCCCCATGTGTGAGTCTTCAATCGCTCTGCCCTTATATAAGGCCTCTTTCCCCTCTACATGTGTTTGAGGCCCTCCGTCTCTCCCTCTGCTTTATTTCTCTCTAGGTGGGAGTCCTCATTCATACTGAAAATAAGCAACCAGCCTCAATTTACAGGAAGGTATTCAAATATCTTATCAAGTTCTCACGATTCATAAATACAGAAGCTGCTTTTCTAAACATTAAACTTCACCCCTTGACTGGAAGAGAAGAGTAAGAGCTTTAACTCTAACTGTTGAATACACACTTTAACAGGGATAAAGCTGGACTTCGTGGCATTAAAATACTTTCCAGATTCTTCAGCATCCTCCCTTTCTCAACACAAACATACACACAGGCAGCTACCATTCGTCTAACAGCATGTACACAACAGTTTGACACAGATTTGGAGTTTATTCACACATCACATACTACAGTGGGTAATGTATTCAAGAAACATTGAACAGCGCTGCCATATATGACACAGGAAAAACAAAACAAAAAAAGACATTGAACCCTTTCTTTGCCATTATATAAAAATAGTGTTGCTACAAAAGTATAAATTAGGCTTACTAATAAGACAACTCAGATTTGAATCTACACAGGAATCTGCTGCCAAAGTGCGATAAAAAAGACAAAATGAATAGAATCAAAACACATTTTTTGCATTTTAGCAGAGTATAAAAGGAAGAAATGCCTGTAAAATAGGATGAAAGCAACACTAATTTCTTAACCTGAATTGATAATACAGACTATAATCCATAGTTAAAACTGATCTCCATGTTAGCATCCTTATACCATATTTTACAAGTGAACTTTTATTATCTGAATAAGTTAAAATCCTGAAACAAAATAAAACTTACAGCTGATTTCAGTTTTCTAATAACAGTATCTAAGTTGAGTTTTCTATCATATCAAAACCTTTTGAAATGCTACTGTAGAAAAAAGAGGTATAATGTTATTGGTGCTCCCTACTGTATCTCTGAAATGAAGGCGCCCCCTTGTGGCATAAAAACAGCAGTTCTCTTGTATTTACACAATACATCCTCTGAAAATGGATGATGTCAGCCCATAAACACCAACCCATGATCAGCATCGATACTCCCACCTTGAAAAGGTTAAAATTCAGTGCGGGGTCACTTCTCTATCTCTTGATGAGCGTCTTAAGGTAACTTCTACTCAGAGCCAACATGATTCACTTCCATCTGATGAGAAACACTGGCTTATAACTTTATATATCAGTACTCTTATTAAAAGCATGCATATCTTAGATATAATTCTCATTTAATCAACAAAAAGAATGCTATTTCTAAGTAAAATTAAGTTGACATCATTACGTCAACGATGGCATTTTGTCCCAGAGCATATCCTATTTAAAATACGTATTTAAAAACTGTAAGAAAAATCCCTTCATCAGTTCAATCGAGGATCACTGCTAATACCGCAAACCAATGTACAGTATTTCGACTACTTCTTTGACCAAAGCTAATTTTTGTATGAACAGCTGATTTCCAATCACTAAATTACAACATTACCTTCTCTGTACTGAGGTAAAACATTGGATTGGTACTTAAAAAATTAAATTTAAAATATAATTTACAGCAATTTTCTTTTTTTTTTCTACCAAAATATAAATGTGTAACATAAATCAGTTTGAAAACAGCAGTATACATATTGATTTCAGGAATGCAAATTATCACAATGCAGTGATGTCTGGGTTACACTGAATCAAGCCATTTTCCCCAAGAGGAAAAACAGATAAAGTGTGTTAAATTGTTAGATAACCAAATCAACCCAGACATAATTATAATTCCTTCTGAGAACCTAAATAAAAAAAACATATGTTTTTTAAAAAACAAAAAAAAACCCATTAAGGAGAGAAAAACATTTCTAAAATCAAAGCTGTTAGTGGAGGTAAGGAGGGCTACAGTCTTTAAAAAAACATCATGTAGTTGTGAGACATAAACATAATTTAAGACCTTATATTTATTTTTGTTCACTACACCGTTTGCTCCAATGCCCTTTAATTTCCCGTGTGCAGTGCACTGACTTCCTACTCCCTGTGCCCTTACAACTGAAAGGTACAGTCACATTCACCTTATTTTGAACAAAACTGTTCCGCACTCAGCCCCGAACACAGATGTGATGTCACACAACTCCAATGTGGGTGATAAATAAACGTCGATCAGAGCGATTACAAACTGCAAACATTCCACGAGGGTGATGCTGCAGTTTGTAGTCTTGTTAGTGTGATATTGAACAAAACAAGATGATGACACAGCGTTAGAACAGTGACTTCTCCATTTCAAGGTACAGTGTGTCAGTGTTTTCTATTGGCCATGCACATCTGCAAGGTCAAAGTTGAAAACGGTGAACTCTGATCGGAGGAGATCGCAGGTTAACAGGAAGTGGATGCTTAAATTTCTCCACCATAGAGGCTTACACCGAAACGATTGTGAGGCTGAGAAGTAGTCGTTGGGCAGAAATGTAATGTAGCAGCACCTTGAGTTGCACTGCGGCCTAAAGCTGGAAAACATGATTTGACTATGAGTGTTAAACATTTAAATCAGGAGTAGGTGATATAGCTTCTGCCAAAAAAAAGTGAAAATAAAAAAACAACAAAAAAAAAAAAAACAGTCAACTCTAGTCAAGCAGGTAGAGACATTCCCTGTTCATTCATGTGGAGCCGTCAAGCCATTAAACGGTACTGCAGCCTTTAGAATCAAAACACAATATTCTAACCGCACCACAAAATAGTATGATAACTAAAATCCAAATCCTGATGTTTATGTCATAACATTAGTATTGATATATGCGGCTGTTCCAATACAAAGACCTGCAAATGTGATTTCTAATCTGCAACTGAGTCATTTCAGTACATGTTTAATACAGTGGATACTTGTGCTTGGGTGTGTTATTGTTGAAATTATTCCTGACCTGTCTTACGAAGTGAGAGATGACTCTAAAAGCGTGCATGCTCAATCAGTTCAACCATTTTAAAACTCGGGAACATTAGAATAAAGCACTTGTCAAATACCACAGTTGCCCACATTTTTTTTTTTTAAGTCCACATTTGACCACTAGAGGGCACTGTTTCCAACCATCAGCCATTAAGTCCCTTCTACAGAAGTGAAATAAAAAATAAAAAAAAAAAACTACAAGCTTTAGAAAAGATGGTGAAACGAAGGCCATTGAACAGCAATATAAAGGCATGATGTTGGCTCTGACTGAGGGGTTTAAGGTGACCGCATGAAAGAGACTTAAGGCCCAAAAACACAGATGACAAACTAGTATCTGACTGATTAGTACCAGAGGCAACAAACAAATTTTACAGTATAACTTCCATTCATCCAAGTCATTTTAGGAGGTATTAGCTCACGTAAATGTATTCTAGAATCCATAAAAAAATAAATAACTTGACTTCATTAGTATGCAAGTGTTGACTTAGTGAATGTACTGGCAGAATTTGTTTCATCCTGAAAGAAATAAACCCTCAGTGATCCTTTTTCTTTTTTTTTTTTTTTTTTTCTTCGTTTGTTGCAAGTGGCACCAACTGCATTTGGGGTGGAACGTTTCACAAAAGTCACGGTTCAGTACATACCTCGGCATTGAGGTCACAGTTTGGTGTGTTTTAGGTTCATTGAGGAAAAAGTGGCGGTGCCTGCTTGGGTGCACTCATTCCTGAGAAAATCCCGTTGATTTCACAAAGAGAAAAATAATTTACTGTTAATAATAAACTGTCGGAAAGTCATGACAACAGTCATTTTTAATAGTGAAAGTCGGAAACTATGCCCTATGATAAAGCTTATTGCCTTAAAAAAATGGAAATTCGTAGCGCACATAAGGAAGACAATGTTTATATTAGAATGATAAATGAGGAAAGTATAATAAATAAAATAATAATCTAACTTTCCTGTGGAAAAGTTTTCTAGTTAAGCTTTGAAAACAAACGCATACACAAACATAAACAAACACACACAAACACACAGTGGCCAACCACACAAGGATTTATGCAATTATGAATTAAATCCTTGCCTACAAGCTTACCAAACTGATGGCTAATAACATTACTGCTGTTTATCTGAGGGCGATGCACAGGCAAAAACATCTTCCATGTAAAAAGAGGTGTATTGATGCATCTTATAGACACAACTGTAGGTGTGTCTTTTTACAGAGCTGAGTGGTGTGGAATTCCTGAATTACCAGCACTGGAGACTATCATCCAGCCAAACAAAGTGGCCTCTAGATGTTATCATTGTATATTTACTGACATGCAGGCTGAGTTGTACCATCAAGTATTATAGGATAATATAAGATTTATTTATTCAGCATGTGTCTTAATCCCTTGTTGATGCAATCCAGCTAAGGTTGTAGGTATAATAGTAACTTACTTACTAAGAGTAAGGCTAAATGAAATCAGTGTAAAAGCTGACCACAAACAGGTTCTGATATAATGCTGTCCTCTTTGTGCATGTACCAAACAAATATTTGTAAAGGAAACTCAATCAAAAGCATGACTTCATTTAAATCAACCTAATAATATCGGCCTTCTGTGCAAGTCTAGCAATTTGACTTGCATATCTAGCAGCATAAGAGCTTGAGAACACTTTTTATCTCTTTTGTTTTAGAAAGAAAACAAACCATTGGATGATTTTTCTTTACAATTTGTGACATAAACAAGGAGGAATGCATCATATCGGAATTAATGTTTAATCAGCTGTTTTTTTTGTGTTTTTTTTACCCTTCTGGTTAAAAAATGCATGCAGCGCAGTGCATGCAAATGATCCGCAGCTACATTTTGAGACCACTGAAGCAACCATCAAAAAATTTGCCATAATGATTAAGCTCAGATATATCCACTGCGGCTGAATATGCTTAAACATATCATTTTCAGTGGTACATAACAGTAAATCATAAACCTAGCACACTTACTTGTCCGAGGTACAACGGCAGTGAGGATTCACCACTTGATCTTTTTTGTCATAGACCAATGAAAATGATAACTCTTCAACAGTTTTTAACTGCTTCATCCCTCTTTGACAACTTTGCTCATCTGGTTTGATTATTTTCTAAAGGTCTGTGACAGTTGTTTCAAGCAGTGAAAGTTGATTTTACCTGAAAATGTTGCCATCCAGTGAGAATAACAGCATTATAGTCTAGTAGCAGTTTAGTTGTTAGGCTGGAGTAATTCAAATCACTGGCCAAGAGAAGACCGAAACTCATCCTGCTTACATGTGCATCCCATACCGAGGGTGGCGTACCAACCAGGACAATCTTTTGAGAGTTAACGTTCCACCCCTACATTTTGTCCACAGTACTTTACAACAGTCCTTCCTCCATATAAAATATGTAATAAGCCGTTTTATGGGTGTTTGCAAACTATACAATGTGAGTTTTCCTGTATATATCTGTTTCAAGAAGTATTTAATGTCCATACACATTGAAGTTTACAGTTGGTCTAAACCTACAGTATATAAATAATAGTCTTGAGTCATTCGTTGGAGGTGAAAGTTTGGTTGATTAGGGTTGGTTGGGTTTCTCTTCTAGCCCATGTTAGAGCGAAGGAAAATGAGTTTGTTCATTTCCTCAGCAGTGACCTGCTGCCTCCTCTTCATAGCCAGGCTCTGCTCGCACACAGTCACACACTCACCACGTATGCCCACAGCAGGCACAGCGAGGAGCCACAGTGCCAGGCGAGCAAGCCTGGGGAACTTGTCACCCACTGCTGAGCTCCAGTACTGGAAGAGGTCAGGTGTCCCTTGGAGAAGGGGCTCGGCCAGGTATTGAAAAATCTCTTGTCTAACTTGGCTCTGACTGTCATCATTACTGGACACTGTGCAAGATGAGGATGACCCCCTCGAGGTGCCACCATTGCTCCCACCTCCCTCTATGCGGCTTATTTTAGGGGTTGGTGGACCATCAGTGTCGCGTTCTTCACCACCTGAACCTCCACCACCTGTCATACCTCCATCCCTGGATTCAGCAGCCATTTCGCATGCACGGGAGATTATGTCTTCATGTTGGTAGGCTGGCACTGAACGCAGTTTGAGCTGTGGGTCCAGGACCATGGCTACCTGGTGAGCTCGTTCAACCTGGAGACAGAGAAACAATTCATTGACTCTCAGTTCTTCATAAAACAAACTACTCACATTCAACTATCATATGTTTAAGTTCCCTTTTCTAGGGCTGGGTACTTTTTTAAAATAACCATCAAGTATTAAAAGCTGGCATCAATTGTCTAGTCAGATTTGTAATTTTGTTTACTTTTTTTCCCTAATAGTTCCAACATATCAGTTGAAGTATCGAAGTATTGAAAAAAGAGTTCAACAAAACTTAGTTCAGTACCTTGAAATTTTCCTTGAGTGCTTCTAGGAAGTAGTGGCAGAGTTTGCTAGCAGTGCCAGTTCCAGCCTCTCCTGCTTTGGATGTGAAAAACTTCTCCAAGCGAAGGTAGACGGGCAGCACCTGCTGTAAGGTTGGTCTCCTTTGGCTGCTGAGCTCCAGAGCTGCCAGGCGCAGAGGTGCCAACAGACAAGCCAGCGTGCCCAGCAGGTGCTTGTTGAGACCTTGGAGTAGTGGAGCCGTGGCCTTACTGCGTCCATAAGCTTCACAAATCTGTTCAAAGTGGGCATGGACCTGCAGAAGAGCTTCAGCCATGCGATCCCAGCAAGGAGGAGTGGGGCACTGTGCGGGGCTGCCCTGTGTACCTTCGTCAGTTGTGCTTGTGGATGTGTTGGTGCACTGTTCCTCACGAAGTGCCAGTGTAGTGGAGGAGGCAATATCTCTGCACGTTGAGAGAAGCTCGGCCAGCTCATGAAGACCTCGGGCCTGGAGACTGCGCTTCCCAAGAACAGCCTGGACAACTGCACCGAGGGAACACCCTGCGCAGCGCAAGCATATTCTCCCCCGGCCACCGCCACCCAGTGGTGATCCTGCGAATCCCGATGACCCCACCCTCGGCTCTGAGACGTACACAGTGCGAATGTCTGACATCACAAACTCAGATAGCACATTCTGCACCCAGTGGTGAACCTGCTCCGGCCCTTCCCTCAGCTCAGCCTCCCTCACACCGAGCACATAGCGTTTCAGTCTCGACCCCTCCACCTGGTAGGCTGTTAGAACATAGCAAGCATCTGGTCCAGATGTCTGGGAGTGGCAGGTGACAGCGATGCCAAGTGAAGCATTGGAGCCTAGAGCACACGTGACCTTGACTTTCACTTGGTTGTACATGCGGGGCAGCTGGCGCAGTGCCAAGGCACTCATGTTGCCAAGAGCATCACGGGTGGAGTAGGCACCATGACGAGCACCCGTGTCGACCAGGGTCTGTGCCAACTTCAGGAAGTCCTTGCTGTTAAGCACATTTAGCATGCTCAGATCTGAACACATTACCCGTAACAGGCGCTCAGCCACCTGCTGTCGCTCCTTTTCAGGTAGTCCATTATTTTCTGCCAGCACAAACAGCAGTTGGATGGATAAGGCAGAGCAAAACGTGAGACAAATAATTAGTGTTAATGTTTTTTAATTTGATATATTCACAGAAAGCACATGGAAATACACAATCATAGGGAATAATAAAGAGACGGTATTAACATGGGAACGACTTTGTTTTACAGACAAGATTCACTTGAAACAGAGAAATTTAGAGGTTATAGCTAACATCTTTTGAATTATATTATTGTTATATAATCATTTGTTTTGTTTTGCATTTATTTGACTAATACAGCAGAGATATAGAAAGCAAATGCAGGGAGAGAGATGGGTATGGCATGCAACAGATTTCCCCACCAAGAATCAAACCACAGAGGTTGCCAGTTATATGCTATGCCTGCTAACCACCAAATGACCATAAAAACACCCATTTCTAACCACAAACAGAGTCAAGGGGTGTACAAAACCTTTCATGTCTCCATATATACAATAACTAATTTGATGGTAGTACTTACGGCTGAGTGTGTGGTTTCTCTGGGAGATACTTTGAGGCTGGATTTGTAGTTTAACTGAGGAATGGGCCTGAGCCTGAGAACCTCTCCACAGCTGCTCCTGAGGACCCGAGGCAGAGGAGGTTTTGGGAGAGTCCCCTTTGGTGTGGTTCTCATTGTCAGCTGAGGAGATAGAGAGATGGAGGATCAGGCAGAGGTGACGATATTGTGCAAATTCATTGGAGAAAGCGTGTGTTTAGTGTTTCCAGTGAAGAAAAATGTAAATAATAAAATCATGACACAAAATTAAAGAAAAAAAAAACAAAAAAAACAACTGTCAGCAAAAGAAAGGACAAAAATACATTACTTGGCCTCCCTGAGTCTGTTATCAACAAATTGTGGCTTAAAACCACTTGTGCAAGTTTACAAAATGAATTTCAAATTTTTTTCAAATAAGATCAGCAACAAATGTTGCTTGGTATGTTATTAGATGAGATCAGTCTCACAGCAATAAACCCAGAAGCAAAAAACAGCAAACAGCAAAGATTCGTCATAAATGATCAGCTTGTGTAAATTGTTTTCATTGGTGAAGCCTGGATAATAGAATTTTAGGACTGTCCAGTGAACTATATAATTCACATGATAGATAAAGTACAAATACCAAACATCTTGTGGCTACAGCTTCTCAAATATGGGTATTCCCTTTTTATTCTTGTTGTCATACCATTGTAAAATCAATGTGTTATATTAATATGTAATAGTAATATGTTATATGTTTTTTTTGACTGTTGGTGAGACTAAATTATTGTCATGACTTTCAGATCTTTATTTCTGACATTTTATATACTAATTGATTAAATAATTGAAAAGATACCCCGAAGACAACGTGCCTGCTGTATGTTTACATGGTGAAATGTATGATGCACTTAAGTTTTTGTAATAAAACAAGAAACCTATCCAGGAGCCTCAGATCCAGATCTGCAACAACCCTCATTACAACAATATATTCCTTGGAACTCTAAGCAAATGTTGTGTTGTGTACAACAATTCTATGCCTAAACCTCAATAAACAATAAAAAAGACTATGTGTTATCACATGCATTGCAGCCACTCATGGTGTGTTCACATTCTGTATTTGTTTCCCTGTTGAGCTTAACATGCATTTGTAGTCGTGGACTCACCAGCGTGGGACTGCATGTGCTCCAGCAGGTTGTTGTAGAACTGGAACTGGATGCCACAGGCACCACAAGTGTAGGGTTCTAAAAAATCACAAGGCCCAGAAGAGCGTTGACTCTTTGTCGGAGGCAAAAATGAAAATACTGCGCATCTGTCCACCTTCTAGCCTCTATTATCCCTGATCTATACTGGATCTCTGTCAAATGTAGCAGCTCTGAAAGTCTGTCCCACCAAGATGAGGTTGTTTTTTGTGATTTTTTGCAGCCCAAAGTGGCTCAATTTGCAAGAGCATTCCTGAAAATTGTGTTGTAATCTGCAAACGTTTTTGCACAATTTTGTGTTTTATGTCCCCAGTTTGAATGCCCACCCCCCCCCAACCCACCCACCAGAAATCCCCTCATTTCCTGCCTGTTCCAACTGTATCCTATCTAATAAATGCTAAAATGTTTACATCATTAAATTAAAACATTTTAAAATTATCCAACAATCTTTGTCCACCAAAAGAAAACCTTGTAATAGCATGAGTCAGCAAACGCTTAGTTGTCAGTCATTACACACGGCTATATCTGAACACAATGCAGATGTACAATAAGACTAATGTTAATCATCCTGCTCAGACATTCCCTGGTGATAATGAAGCTTCATGTAGGAAATCTGTATAATCACAGTGGATTACAGAGAAACTATTTGCACCAAGCAACAACAGATTAACAAAAATTGAAGCATACCAGAAAAGAAAAAAAATGGTGAAATGAGAAGGAGTGCTGCATGCATATATTTTTTTTGAGCAGGAAGGTGGGGTGGGACTTACTCTGTGTTGTAGAGAAGGAGCTGGCCACCAGAGGGCTCGGAGTTCCTGTGGACAAGAGGATAGGGAGGGAGTTAAGACCACAGACACAGTAAAACATTCTCTATTGCTCCTTTCCCTTGTTTATTCAATTATTGCTTCATTTAGTTTACTGTTAATTTTCAATATTTCATATTTGTGCAAGCATTATTTGCAATCAAAGAGCTTTTCCTCTATGTATCCATGATTTGGTGCAGAGCATCACAAACCCTCATAGAAATTTTAATCAGTGACTGATGGTGATCTTATCTGCATATAATCAATTTTAATACAGTGTCTATAAGAGGCAAAAACTGATTGATTTCAGCACCAGATAAACAAATAACGATTTTCCTAAACCCCAAGCAGACAGATATGTAGGTGCAAACAAGTCATCACATGCACTGTATAGACACAGTGGTGAGAAAACTAGAACCACACCCATAAATAAGAACCGGACTGCCCTCTTTCTTTCTATTTATGCCACTTCATATACAGGGGCACACAAAAGCAAATCCACATTTACTGAGAACAAGCAAAAATGCTTTGAAAAATCTTTGATAAAACTAACAAACTTTGAAAAATTCTGAACCGCTGATACCATGAGGAGTGGTTTCGAACATCACCAAGACTGTAGTTACCCGTTTCTATTTGTTTTTTTCCAAAGCTGACTGCTTGCTAGGTGGGACATCACCTTTAGAAGTTGAGCATGGCAGATGTAACAAGTATCAACCGTATTACCACCAAACACTTGAGCAGTGTGACAAAATTAAAATTGAAAAAAAATACTTACTGAGTTTAACACTCAAACATTCAACAAATCTGCTTCATTGGAGCTGTGTAGGTGTGATTTGATTAGGTTTAACTCATCAGATTCTGATTCTAATATTGGTGATTGATGCACAGAAATGTGTGATGTCACTTTTTCCCAACTTAGTCCAACCCACTTCAAACCAGTGAGAACAGTACAGATAAAACAGCACAGACAGAAAGCTCTGCTGAGAAACAACCAGGACTTTTATAACTTGCCAGAAAATGTTGTTTTCATGTACAACAGCACTGCTCATAGTAAGAACCTGATAAAGAAAATATGTTTGCAGCACCTGTGAGTATAGAATGTGGCAGCTGTTATCGGAGCCAAAGGTGATCAAACATTGTATTCAACAAGGTCTCCATTATCATGGTCTGAGTTTGGAGAGGAATAATGACAAAAGAGCTCTTGGATTTGTGGTTTAGTAGATAGTAACAATTAATGAAAGGTAGGTCATCCAAACCTCTTTGCATCCTCTGCTCCTCCTCCATCTCATTTTTCAGCCAGGGCATTAGTTGCAGAAGCACTATTTCTAACTCTACTGATATTTACACATACCTGCTTTGTAGCAGAACTGAAAATGTGAAAATACCTTTCACCATTCAAGCAGAAATGATACATTTCTACACAAATAGACATACATCCATCTACAATAAGGTATTCAGTGCTCACCGCTTGAATTCTGTGAGCTGTTTGTGTCAACCAGACTTGACTGAATCGCACTCTCCAGTTTCCGCCTGAATGGACTGTCTGTTGGTAAAAACACAGGAGAAACAATGAGGGACATGGCCATGCTAAATAACGTGGATAATATTTTCAATTCAAGCTATTAACTACACAACAGCTAAGATGGAGCCAAGTCAATGACATGCAATTTATACTTAATTTCAGTTTAGCATGCAAATCAATCATGCTAACAGCCTTGACAAAGGATCCAAATGTTCATATTACATTTAAATACGGGTTTAATTCCTCTTCTTCATTCCATCTTTTTGACCCACTTCTAAGATGTGAGTGTGTGCCGTGCTTTAAATAGTTCTTTATGGCAGAGTGCTTCTTCGCAGATAGATTGGGGCGTTCATGTACCACAAAATACAGAACCAGTTGGAAGAAATATCAATGATTTATGACAGCTGGAATAAAAGGTTTTGGTTAAGCAATGGAACAATTATCTAAAACTACCTGCATTATTGAGAATAAACTATATGTAATATGTTAAAATAACAGGCTAAATACAAATCATTGTATTACACTTTCTCATGGTCAAGTATTTCATTTATTTTTTTTAGTCTGACTAGAAAAAAAGAGGATACGGAATTTAAAGGGACGAAGGTTAAATTCAATACAGACTACACAGAATCTTCAATCTTTTACCAAATGTTATTGTTTCTAAACATAATTTTAATGTGGTTCAGTGCTGGAGGAAATTAAAAAATAACAATCATATCAAAGAAAAAACATTCTCTATGTATCACCGCTTAAGTTGTGCAAATATCCATTCACTAAAGGCTGATAGTTTCCAGCAGTAAATACAATGGTAAGGGCAAGGTGACCCAGAACCTTACATCCAGGCTCTTACGGTTCTCTTATCCTTTTTCCACTGACTCAGTGAAACATACTTTAGCCATTGTGTGGTATGTTTGTGACCATTTCCAATGCACACTCACAACAGGACTGCTTACCATTATTGTGATGGTCTCTACCCTCATATCATGGTAAAATGTCTGCACTCGTGAAGTCATGAAGGTGACTGCCAATTTATAAAGACATTATTCAACAGTTCAGGCGGTAGGTGTTTGGTTTCTGATCATGTTCAGCAAGTTGTTTTTTTCCCCATTTTATCAACATCAATCTCTGCTCAATTGTGACTTATTTCCAGCTGTATTACAATTTGTCATGTCGACACCCACAGCCAATTACAAAGCATTCAAGTTATAAATCAGTGGTAAAAAAAAAAAACAATATATGATCTGTAAATATTACACTTGGCTCTGGGATAAAGGTAAGATCAAAAATACAAACTTATTCCTCTAGGGCTATACACACTGTCAAGGTGCATGATACTAAGATTCGATGGCCAAATTTCAATTAGTCACCATAAGAAGTTACGAGACATGTAAACTTTGATTAGTATTACACAATAAATCAACAAAGAAAATACTTATGCTTACTTTTTATTTTTCCAGCTTGGCTGTGGCCAAATTTACTCATATCCATACTACCACATTCCTGTACCCGTGATGCCTTCATATCAAAGGAGCCTAGATCAAGAGAGATTCAGATTTGAGAGTTAATTGTAATTTAATCACATTAGATCAATGGCATTAAATCTGGCACTATGGATGTTTTACCTGAAAAACATGCAAGACTAACACTATAAACATTTCAAAACAAAATTCAAGATATTAGCACTCCATAACATATGTTTATAAGAGATTATATATATATACACCATGTAAAAAATAAACAAAAAAAAAAATGACTAAAATAGGAACTCTAAATTTTAAGTCTAAAATTTTCAAATCCTACACTTAGCAGCTTTAAGCAGTAACTAAACCGGCTCACCCATTGGTGTGTGAAGAGCAACATGCTCCTGGTACGGGTTGAAGTACTTGTACTGCTTCCCACAGAACTCACAAACATAGCTCCCCGTTTCTAGAGACAAGAAAACACACAAACAAACATTTGCTCTCATCACGATCCAGGTTGGTGAAAGAACCTGTGTCATATCAATTAAGATCCAATTTGTTGGATTAGTTGTGTTCAATTAAAAAAAGAACAGAATTATTTTGTAAATCATGCCTTTATGTCACTAGGGAGAAGCAGAAAACAAGAAGTCCTAATAGAATGGGGAAGAGGAAGGAGCTGGTGATTCTGAACGTATCTTTTCTCGATTGAAGTTTACATTTAGCAATCCCTCAATATTAGAGAAGATAAAAACACAGGGGTTTCCCTGTATAGTGCGATAGTGGAGGTTCACAATATTTCCCCTATCAGTAGGAGTCATTAGTGCAGTGACAAGTGCAGGCTTCCCACCTGCGAACACTGCCAATTGTGTTTGAAGGGACACCCGCTGCCGTCGGTTGAACCCGCGGTCTCTGCGGAGATGGGCGAGTGCTTTTTCCCCTGCGAAGGAGGACTTTTGGACTCATGTTCTGAAACCTTTCCAGTGTGGAGTTAGCTCATATGCTTAATGTTATTTTTCTAACATGGATCATCTCCATGACTTATGGTCTTTCATTATAAACTGTGTCCAATACACTGCACTGGACGCAGGTGGACGCAAGCTATCAAGCTGTAATGGGAGTTCCAATGCCAAGTAAAACAAATTTTTTAACTCTGATTTCTGATTTTGTCTTCCTAATAACCAGCAAAATAAAACAAAACAAATGATAGCAAATAACTTTGAAACAATGGATTACAGTGACACATGATCTCAATTTAGTTTGTTTCTTCTGCAGGGTTTAACAACATAAAATCCAAGAAAGCAGCTGCAACTTCCTTTTGAAGCTACGGTATTTATGGTGAGTTTTGTAGCCTTGCTCTGCTATGGTATATTTGTCTTCACTTTAAGTTTCCAATCACCATTTGCAAAACATTTTCTCTAAAAGAAATGGACTTAAAGAAAAAAAAAAATGACATCAAACAGTCTTACTTGGTCCAATTTTCTGATAGGGTTCAACTGGCTCCTCCTCTTTAAGGCCATCCACAGGTAACACTACCTGTTCATAAGGATCTGAGAGAGATGGGGAAGAAATGGACAATTATTTTCTCACTGAATGCTTATGCTTATCATAAAATATAAACTGAACTCTTAGAAATATATCAAATTGTTTCCAGCATCATCATTCAAACATGTTGACCTACAGACTGTTCAAATTTCATCTTGTTACTTTGTCAAATGTAATTTTGGTCATGCACACAAGCTTTGCTGCATTGTACTTGTCCTTTCTTTTCAGGGTGGACTTAAACAAAATCAAATAATGTGCACTGAAGCTAAAACAAAAAAAAGGTAAAATATAAATATATTCCTAAATTTGTTGGACAAGCGCCCACTACCTTTGTGTGCATGAAAAATTTACCTTACCCTTTATTTTACAGCACACTCATTTCAAGAAAACAACACAGAAGAAATGAGAAGACAAGATATATATCAGTATTAATGTTTCTTTTCTGCTTCAGTGAAGAACGGCAAGGGCATCTCAATGTTTCCGTATTCATACCCTCTCACCTATGACTTTACATGGAGTGATACTGTGTAGTAAAGTGGTAGTAAGTAACTAGCCTGCCTGAATTACACTTCACCTGAGACAGACTATTATTAGCGACATACTATGTCTCTTTTTATGGTGTATTTTGTAGTTTGCGTTTTTTTTTTTTTTTTGGTAAAAAGACTAGTTTTTCTGATCTACTCCTTTTTACCATGCCACTCAGCTTTTGCTGCTGCAAGGTTCGGCAGCGACAGGACAGTGTGAAATGGAAAGTTCACTTATGAATGTTCCCCAGTTCAAGTCTTGCAAGTTTCAAAGAAGAAATAAATTGTCATGCAAATTGTCCAAAAACTCCTGGTTACCATCAACGGCATGCAGGTCACGGTGCTCCTGGAAGCAGCTGTAGTACTTGTACTTCTTGCCACAGATGTCACAGGAGTAACGGAAGCTACCTGCAGATTAACAGATAGAGAGAGACAGGCACCATTTATATCCAGGACTAAACAGACAAGCAGGCAGACAATGGATGTTATTGGCAATGACAAGCAGAGGGGTCATTCCATGCCAACTCATCCAGAACTCTGAACTTTTCCCAGTTCATGTCATTGATTTTCTCAAAAAAATCATGTAAAAGCTTCTATTAAATTCATGGGACCTTTGAAAAATCCTATAGCTGTACTCCAAATGCAGTTTTTAATTATAAATTGAAGTTTGATATGGAAGCATAATGCATTCACTTGAGAAAAAAATCTGCTCTGTTTTTCTGAATTAACGAGGTCATTATCTCAGAATTCTGAGATAATAATCTTGTTAATTCAGAAAAACAGGATTTTTTTTTTTTTTTTATATATTAAAGAAAACCTTTCTCAGAATTCTGGGATAATGATCTCATTAATTCAGAAAAACAGAGCAGGATTTGTTTTTGAGAAAACAAAACTGCTTTGCTGTACACTTAACAGTACATAGAGCAGGAAAGATGATAGAGGGTAGATATAGGTAAATTACAACACATTGTAATTTAATAAATTCAGAGAAGTAGAACACCTTGTACGCCAAGGTGTTCCAACTGCTTTTCACACAATTTGCAGAAAAGTATATCATGGTGCCACATATTGTAAATAGGGGCAGAGAGAGCAGAGTTGTGTTTTTAGTCATTCTGCATTTGAAAAATAGACAATGAACAAACAAATAAGTTTAAAATACACAGGATAAGATTTGATTGTATTGGGACAAGCAGACGGAGGCTAAATGAGATTAGATAAACAAGCCGAATAGGCAGATGAATCCCTGAGGGAAAATGTGAAAGAAGTTAATCATGATTAGATAATTTTATTTTGTAATATCTGCATATAAACAAAGCTTTAAAATAATATAGTTACGCAAAACAAGCATGAGTGGTACTCAGTAGAATGCATAACTCTGCCAAGGCAAAACAATCCTACACGTCTATCAGATCCTGAATATTATCTGGATCTAAACCACATCGTGCAAAGTCATTGATCTCAGCACCATCAATGTCTGATTTTTTTTTTCCCCAACATCAAGACCTCATAACTTATTTCCTGAGACTTTGACAAAAGTGTCAAAATATGTCCCATCTCGCAATGTTAGGGAAAGTGATAACAAATTCCTGGATCCACCCCTTTAACTGGATTGGCTCTGTAATTTAGCGGGTTCTTTCCTGGCCCATGCTCCATCCCTCCAACAAGTTTGGTGCAAATCAGTTCAGTACTTTTTGCATAATCACACTAACAAACAAACAAATAAACAAACAAACCCACAAACAAACATATACAGTTGAAATTATAAACCTCAAAAATCAAGTAGTAATCAAGTCATTTTTAATTTATCAGAATGGGCACACTAAAAATATAAAAATTCCAATGCAAATGCTGCATTTTTAATTCTTTATAACATATAATGAATTATATATTAATTCTAATTAAAGATAATATAGAGTTCTTAAGAATTACACTGTGAATTGTCTTTGCATTTTTATTGTGAATCTGTCAGATTGTATGTACTGCTAGCAAATGACTCAAACTGGATTATTTTAACTGGAATACTGAATTGAAACGTTGTCATCACCAAAATCATGCAAACATAAATTTTTCAATGAGGATTAATATTAATTCCTCTATACATGTTTAAACATTTATTTATTTTCACAGCCAGTTCTTGCCGGGTGAAAGGACATAAGGGATACAGATGACTTGTTCTGCTCTTGCTGACTTTGTTGCAGTGGAATGCATTGCACATCCAGGTGGCTGTTGACAATTAAGAACACCTGAAGTGCCTTTTGGCACACTACAGTGAAATCCTGTCTGAAGACAATCTGTTGAATAAACAGCATAGAGCAACTGTAAGACAAAATCCATTTCTAACGTCCTCTCTCCAGTCCAGTGACACAGGCTAGTCTTCTCTCCATAATAATGGGTCTGACTGATGTTGCCCCTGCTGAAGGCCCCTCACCTCCCACACCCATGAGACAAATGTTTTATCATTTAGTAGGAGAGCAACAGCTTTTAAGTTTCCTGCAGTGCATTCTGACTCTGTTAATTCAATCAGCCACATTTTTGGCTGAGTTCCTGAGGTATTTCAAAGATGTATTTAAATACTGTGCAAAATATTCTACAGCAGAAAATAAACTATTCTACGCTGGAGTGACCATTTTTAAGTCTGAAAAATTTGTGTCGACACTGTAAGTGTTAAGATAACCTTGTCAAAATGTATTTTCAACATTTTGGAGGCGCAGTAAATGAATGTCCTACAAATGTGATACAAGGAGGCAGAGAAAAGTTAACACAGCCGATTTAGAAAAGACAGTTTCTTCAATTCACAGCAGAAGCGTTCGTGCAAATTTATGCTTAATTGGCAACAAGGACATACAGCTACAAAAGTGATTATTAGGGCAGGGTTAGGCTAACTGTAATTGCATTTTTAACACCTCAAGGCTTCAATAGCAAGCATATTCTATAATTTCCCCACCAATTAACACAATTAAAACTATCTTCCACAAATTAGTGGATCCCTGGCAGTTGTCAGTATAATTAAAGTTCACATAACTTCATTCCTCCCAGCAAAGGTATGGACACATTCGATGAAACAATGACAACATTTGGGTGGTTATGGGTGCATCCATTTAAACAGAACCTAACCATTGATTCTACTGTGATCCTTCTTCAATCCTTCCGCATTCAGACTGATTTACAACTTTTAGAGCGCATACTCCTAGCTAGATTATTTTGTTACATGAACACTGTATTTCTTCTGCTACCTGGCAATCAGCACAACAAAAGATACAATTCTTGTCAGTGTGATAACTCTGTCTCATAGTATAACTATTGTAAACCTCTGTGGAGTGTTTGGCGTCAGATGATTAGTCAAAGTAGACTTTCCTGGTCTTGGCAGTACCTGAAGCCAAACATGCCCACCACCCCCTGCATCTTATTTTAATTGTAGAGCTGGTTTTGGTCTGAACACCCACTTAAGTTTGTTCTAGTCACGCTCCCAAAATACTCTCTTCAACTCCACTCCTCCACAACACTACAGCCCAAATTCTTCGATACCTACTTTCTTTAAACGCAGGATTTTTCACAAACCATACTAACTGGAAAATCCAGGCTTATTATCAGCTGGTCTGTCTAAATGTTCTCCAACTGGTTTTAAAATGCAGGCTTGCAATGATGACAAATAAGATGCTACTGTAACCGATCATTACAGGCAAACTTGGTCTCATGCGGGCTTTAAGTCAAGATTATTATAATACCATATCTTCACTGTGCTGCCCTCAACCTGAGCTTTAAACTTCCTTTGGTCCCTAATGCATTTTTCTTTTCCTTTTCTTTTTTTTTTTTTAAAATATATATCAAATAAATTCCTACTGAAACAGGTTACTTTGCTGACATGTTCTTTTGGGAAACTTGGACTGCTCATAGAAGCATGTTATATTTAAAAATACACTCATAAACTGGCATGTCAGTCATTACCAGGTACAAAGTATAAATATGTGACATCCACCAAAAATGCTCTTTCCATCCTCTCAAGAATTTAATCTATCATTATTTTATTTTGCCAAGCAGCCTATCATGCCTACTTATTAACACTGTCACAGACCTTTTGGTCACACTGCGTTTGTGTTCCTCATACAGCTAAAATAAAATAAATAAATAAAAAATTGTTGTTCTGTCTGCATAAAGATGATTGCTCTTTCTTTTCTCTCTGCCATGTTGATACTGCTACCTTTAAGCGATGTGCACATTCATGTAATGATTGCTGAGAGTGCGTGTAGGAAGCTTTATAAATAACTCAAGTACTACTCTGAGGTAAGTGTATTTTTAGTCCTAATCAAACTTTCACGGTGATTCCTGGGAGTGATTTTAAGATGGCTGATAAATAGGTACAGGCCCTGGCAGCTGATATGTGATGTCATTAAAAGGAGAAACATCCCCATTCCTGTAAACCGCCATTTATTTTTCTAGGTAGTTTCAGGTTTACCTCTGCTGCATTAGAGGAACTGGTGCTGTCAGACAACAAGGATCCAGTGTGTTCTTGTTTTGGCTGCGAGGACGTGGACTTAAATTGTCTCAGTCTTAAACCCCCCTCCCACTCAAAAATGTGTTTTGCTTATTGTTACTGCAGTTGGATGTTTGACCTTCACTGTGCAGAATGCCGTATGTGCAGAGTTTGTTTTCACATTCATCTGCTGAGGGGAAAATGCTCTCTGTGCTCACCTCATGTCTCAGTTTTATATGTACGCACCAGCAGGATTTTGTGACATCACAACCAGTCTTGTAGCATATCGTGGTCCAGCATCCATCGTTGTAAAAATTGAAACCTCCAGAGCACTGAGAATGGACTTTTCAGTAAAGTAGGAGAGATCTTGTTTTCCAGCAGTTAAAATTTTGAAATTACAAAACATAATAATAATTATTGTTATTATTGAGGGAGTAGAGGTAGAATTTTAGCCTGTTAATTGAATTTTTTGTGGGAAAGCCATATCAGACACAAATTATTCAAAGCAGAGAAATTAAACTTTAACTAAACTAATTTTATCTCCCAAATAACATTGTGACCTAGGGCTGGACGTCGGTATTGAGCTCACGCTTTGATTTTGATTCACAAAGTCCAGAATCAATTATTTTTGATTGAAGTTGATTTGTTTCTATTCTTGGTGATTTAGTCAGATAAATACCAATGTTGCATAAAGTGCTTTAAAGTTTAACAAGTGAGCATCAGATTTGTTTCAGTGAATACAAAAGGATGTAAAAAGCATGTTAGTGACTAAATTAACACATTTCATGGTTAGAAAAATGTGAAATAAGAATTCCTTCTCCTTGGCAAATGCAAAATCACCAAAACATAACACATCGATATTTTTTAGGCCTATATGTGAAAAACGGTTGGGCAAGATCAATGAAAAACCTGCGACACTTATCAGGGCATCATCATTATGCATATTTTACTAAATAAATGGCATCCCATACAACTACGCATAGACTGTCAGGAGCAGATGCTTCAGCTAAGTACAGATATCAACTGTAATTATCACTCTGAGCACAGACAAAACAGAAACTGAAAGTCTGCTCACTAATTCATCTGCACTGTTTGTGTTGACAAGACATCAGCCTGATATCCGCAGACAGCTGTTAGCTAGTGTTAGCTACCTGACAGGGACAGACTGAATGAAGTAGAATCCACATACTGTTCAGTTGACATCCACGGCCTCACATCTTGTAGCTAGAGATAATATCTCTTCAACAAACACAAACCGAGCTCAGACCAGTGTACAGTCTTTTTTTCAGTTGATCCCTTTCATATATGTGATTTTTACATCGGCTGTAAGATATCCATCCTGCTGAAGGTCCACATAGACCGTAATCATTACTTTTGCAATAACTCAGTTTCCACCAAGAAGACATTTCACAGATCAAGCAGCTTCAACAGAACCATTTTGAGGAACCACTGCCTACACATACTATTTTACGCAGATGTACATGTTTACTGAGAGAAGGTGAAAATGTAAATATTAATCTCCGTATTTTAAGGATCAATATCAGAGAGACGTTACTGTGCCAGAAATGTTGTAGTTAAGTTGAGTGTTACCCAAAGTACCTGATAAGGACGTCACCTGTGTCGAGGGCGACTACAGTGAGGAGGCGAGGAAAGAGGGAGGTGGATGGAAAGTAAAACCCTGGACAATGAGGATACATAATATGGCTTTATGCTTGCTAAGCCTGTTAAATTGTTGTGCACTGTTTCAGTCATCTGTATGAAAATCTAAATGATATCTTCTAAAACAACATAATGTCTGTTCAATGACCCAAGCATGAAATAAACAGCTTGTGCTGGCACGCTTCTAAACGTGAGTGTGTCTGAGTGTGCAAAAGTGTACTCACTGTTGGGTGTCTGGGGTAGACCATCGCCAACCATGGACTCTGATTCTATAGTAGAAAAAAAGGAAAATAAATAGTCAGCCTTGTAGAAATCTTTATAGATGAATGCAACAGCGTGCTCACATCAGCTCACAGCTTTCACCTTGTTGCTAAAATTGCTATCTCTGAGATTAAAATAATTCAGAGGCCAAATAAATAAATAAATTTAATATAATTCCTGGCCAAAATGGGGCATGAATGACTCATGTAGAGGAAGTGAATAATTTTAGGAGCATACTGTCAAGAGGAAAAACAGAGCAGGCAGTCAGTTATTATTTGGCTTTTCAATAAGACCAAATACATAGATAAAAAAAACTATAGTGTCTTACCTCTGTGTGCCCTGACATGTGTCTGAAAGCAGTTATAATACTTGTACTTCTTCCCGCATACCCCACATACATAGGAACCTGCATGAGAATTCAAAACAGTGTCATAAAAACAAACTGACATTATCATCAGGAGTATACACATTAAGCATATTTGATTGTCATAAAATTTTAGATCTTAGTTCTCTCTCGGCCTATAAGTAATCCCCATCATAACTACTTTATCACCTGGTTACTTCTCTAAGTAAAACTAAAATATTACCAACAATGAGTTAATGTTCTTCTGTGTTATATGTCACATTCCCAGCAATGTTTATGTTTTCTGAATTTGCGTCCTTCACCTCAAAATTAGCAGAGATTCCACTGAGATCTTTTCTCAGCTTTTGTTGCCTAAAAAGGGAAGAATTACTCCAAATCGGATTAATTAATTCAATTAATGGGAAAGTCCTGAGCCAAGATCAGAATCAGGGATAATCAAGGCACTTTTTACTGGTCAAAATCAGCAACAAAAAGCCAGTTTCCATTTCCAAGTCATTGCTTATTGTGCTTCAATTACATGAGCTGTCAAAAAATGCTAAATTGTCCTCCATTGAAACTGTGAAATGAATGTTCTCAGGCGCAACCTGGAAATTCTAGAGAAGCTGGATCAAATTCTTGTCGGTGACGACATCTATACTCAGTTACCAGTTTATTAGGCACACCTAGCTGCCTAACTTTATGGTCATTTTTGGAAGATTTAATTTGATGTGCTGTTGAATTATTCTGCATTGTAATGGAAAAGAGCTTCTAATATTTTTTGCCCACCTTATTTATATTAAGGAGGGGACACTAAATATTTGAAACACTAGACCTTTCTTGGAGATAGGATTTATTGCAGGACTGTTGGACTGCATTCATTTTAGCTAGCTGTACCTAACAAAGTGGCAACTGAATGTGCACACTGTCCGTTTGCACAAGTACACATACACAGTGCGTATGTGTATTTGTGCAAATGATTTGACAAAGGAATTTGCTGAGTGGTTGCTATATTAACAATAATCACGAACATCATCATGTGAGAGCTTCCAGTTTGTAAATGAGAGGAAAGAACAAAATACAGACTAACTCTTTTAAAAGAACCAGCTCACTACAATTACAAAAAGAAACATTTTCTTATTCGGCCCTAATTTATCCTTGCGTTTAGTCTTGGTTTCATTCACCCAGGTTTTTAGTTACTTGTCTTTATGATTGCAGCTGTGACCCCAATATTGGAGATGGAAGAAATTTTGTTTGTGTTCACAGGATTGGAAAATTATATTCAAAAAATTCAACAGCAACAACACACTGTCAATAGTTTTCATTAGGGGCCATTTCTTGTGTAGAAATTGAGCTTGGTGGATTATTCTTAGTAACCGGGACATTGTTTCTGAAAAAAAAAACACCACTGTTGATTTTTTTTTAAATGTCATTTTTAAAATGCTGCGCAGCCTGTTTCGACAGTCAGGAAGCATGGCCAGGGTCAAGGGACACCAGGCGTGCCTGCAGTCAGCAAATGCATGTATATTCACACACCTATGCATGAGTCTGTGCTCTTCGTTGGAGGAGGAGTACCAAGGGCAAACATACCCTCGGTCTGAGCTCTACGGGATCCACCTCCACTTGCTCCTCCATCGTTTCCTCCAATGACAACACAGATCTCAGCAGGGTTGGCATCACCAACTTTCCCATTGCTCGTCTCCGAGGTCCCAGGCTCTTTCTTAACTGTGACAGGTGGTGGGCTAGTATTCTTGTTCGTTGTGGCTAAGGTTGGTGAGGGGCCATCTGTGGCCGTACTCCCACTGTCCGCCTGTTCCTTCCCAGGGTTGGGTGCCTCTTGTGCACTCATGACTCCGCCTCCTCTGAGCCTGTGCTTCTGTTTGAGGGGAAGACACAACAGAGAGACAAGAAAAGACTTTACTTTTTGGTCCAGTAACAATATACAGTCTTAATTTAGGCATGACTTGTAGTTCAATATACAGTAAAGTATCTGAGCATATTATCAGCTCTGCCAGGTCAAACACAAATGTTTTCTCTTGAAACACTACAAACACAACCAATATCAGAGAAAAAAAGCCTGTGTCTATATGTCAACTTTGATTTGAGTCCAGTGCCTAAGTGCAAACTGCAAAGAATAAGCAATAATCTGCAGCTGTCAACTATATATAAAAAAAAAAACCTTAATTGTGAAACAACCACCTCCCTTTTTCTAAATACAGAGATGTGTGAGCTCAAAATGCACAGGAGACACCTGTAACAGTGTAATTTCAAGGGCAGAAAAAACTGAATTTTTTGTACTGTTAGCAGTGAAGAAGAAAGTGGCTTAACTGTTCATAAGTGACCTTTGATGGCATAAATTCCACAGCTTTGTGGCACCCAAATGCTCTAATTTCAGAAATATCCAAATTACACAACTTGCCACTTCAGCACAAGACTATAAAAGGCCTTGTCAAGAGAATGTGCTCAAAATGCAACCAAGCAAAACAGAGTTATGCCAGGATGACTGATATTATGGAAAGAGGGAAAATTGGTCTTCTATTAATAGCGCACCAATACAGCAACAACAAGCCTTTTCATAGCCCTAATATACCTTTCTTTGGATATGACACACGACCAACAAGCCTAAGCAAACATGCCCATGAAGTGGATAATGTTGTGACAAAACATTTCTGGTTTTCAGTTAGCATAGCTTGGAAAAATGAAAAATAATGTCAGATTAATTATAAAGTATGTGCAACACTTGACAGGCCTTGTGCAAGGTTGTGCAAGTTGTGTGTTTTGTTGATTTCCTAATACTTTATGCAACCTTTGTTTGGAACAAGCTTGAATGGTTTTTCAAATTTTAAGGTAGATTCTATTTAGTTACAAATTCTAGGTGCCGTTAATGTCCATAGCATATTCAATGAGAAATGAGTCAATTTTTGCATCTTGCCATTAACCAAATTGTTGGACAAGGTGAAATTTGACCCGACAGAAAAGGTCAGAGGATCACCAAAGCCAGTAGGTGCCATGCTCAGGGGCCAAATCATGGCAAACCATCCATTTAATGGTGAACACTGACATGTAAGTTTGAGTATTTCCATTTTAGCTTCTCCATTATGGTAATTTTCCATTTTCAGTTTCATTATAGAAGATTTCCTTTTCAGTTTTTAATTGCTATTTTAGACGTGTATTACTAAAGCATTTTTGCGTGTATTTTCCATTACAAGGTCTTTCAATTTCCTTTTCCATTAGTCTTGTTGCAGTGTCTCATTTCACCAGTTCCATAAGGTGAACAACAACTGTATATACCTGTGTAATTTCATCCACACTGTCCACCATCCAGAAATTAGATAACAAGCTGTGTTTATACTCACAGGTTGATTTCAATGAGACCTTGTTAAACATTTAAGACTGTTGAAAAGAATAAATACTGTTTTTGAAAAGAGTAAGAGCTATAGATCTTTAAACTCTAGGGCTCAATCTCCCACACAGTTCTTTCTTCATCGGCATAAACCTACTCAAATTAAAGCTAAGACTTGGCACTTTCACATGATATCTTTTTTTTTTTCCCAAATTCAATGTGCTGAAGCACAAAGCCTACAGAAAGTAAAATTACCACCTCCGGTTGTATGCCTCCTGCAACCAGTCAAGTTGCAAATGCAGTCACAACCTCCCCTTCTGTTCCTGAGTTACAGTGTTGAATAATGGCAGAAATGTGTTTGTGAGGTCACAGTGGCCTTGACCTCTGATGACCAAATTCTAATCAGTCCATCCTTGAGTCCAAGTGGACGTTTGTGCAGGATTTAATTAAATTCCCTGTAGGCATTCCTGATATATCGCATTCAAAAGAACGTCAGGTCACCTTGACCTTGACCTTTGACCTTTGACCACCAAAATCTAATCAGTTTATCTGAATGTTTGATGAAATTCCCTCAAGACGTTACGAGATACTGCTTTCACAAGAATGGGGCAGACAGACAGACGGACAACCCAAAAATATAATGCCTTCAGCTATGGCTTCGCTGGCACGGAACCATAAAAATGTAAAACTTAAAAATGAAATTATCAAATAATCCACTTAACATTCAAAACTCAGTTCATCATTATGAAATTTTACTTGTATTCAGTTTCTTTTCACAATAGTAATTTATTGCAGGTCAGTTTTATTTTATTCCACTGTTTTTTATTTCAAAATGTCCTTTTTCCAAAGTTGGTTTTTATGTCACATCTTTCTTTTAATCAAGACAAATAGGACTGAACCAGTCATGTGATCGGCTCTCTTCTCTATCGAACCCAAGTAACAATCACATATGATTATTCATAATGTTTTGTACATTCATTTAAGATATAACACTCTGGGTCTCCATAATGGATGTGTTACTGTATCAGAACAGTTAGGATAATATTTAATCTATCTAAAGCCAAAATTGTGATATGTGTTGTGATTAATGCAGTTATCACACTAGAAAGAAAAGTGCATTGCTACAGTACGGAAAGTTTAACCTCATTTTGAATGCAAGAATTCACAGAGAAATCTTTTGGATCAGCAAAGTTAAGTCGCCCATTTATTGTCTACGCAGCAGTGCCAAATTTTACATCTCAGTGGCATCACAAATTAAATAGTCAGCTCAACATTTTTTAGCTTTAGGAGTGTACAGTCATATGGAACAAGTGAATTCATGAAATGGTTGGCATTCCCCTTTAAGTGCCCTGTTCAACAACATCTCAATTGTTGCTGCTGAGGGCATTTTCATAAGATCAATTTTGGAGTTAAGGCAATAGAATGCTGCTAAATGTTTTGTTTCTAGGCAATCAGTGCTTAAACTGTACATGTACCTATCTCTGTTTTAATAAATGTCATTCAAGCACTGTATTACAGAACACACCTATAACAAAATCTAAGCTGTGCTGGTGTGTTTGTCTTTATAAATGTCTCTAGAAATTACTCCTTACAAGGCTTGTTGCAATGGGCAGTATCACCAGTGGTATACAGTCCACAACACTATACTGAACACTGAGCACTCATTCTGCCCTGTGAAAACAAAAGTGATATCCACAAAAATAAATAGCACCTGCAAATGAAAGGGATTCCATTTTAACATTTTCTGACTCATGGAGAAAGAGATGGTGTAATTACATTATAGCAGTGAATTTGTTAACCAAAATAAATACAACTGCTCCAGGATAGCAGTAGTTCGGGTTCAGCCTTGAGCCAGTTTTCTCTGCAGGCAAGTTTGCTCAATGTATACAGGGAATTTAAATTAGGCCCGTTTTTCATTTTTACTAGACTGACAAACTTAACGACTGGACTGTTTTTTTTTTTGTTGTTTTTTTTTAACAAGCCTTTTTAAAAAATAAATGGGTATGTTTTTACAACCTTTCTTCCTAATGAAAATGCTCTGCAAAATGTGTATTTCTGGGGAAATTTAACAGTGAGTCACAAAAATACAGTAAAAGCCCAGCTTCTCTGTCTCAGCGCTTTTTTTCAAAACATAGCCTAAGGGAAGCAATTTCAAAGTCAACACCACTGGTATTTGGCGGTGTTCTGGCAGAACTTACACTGGCATGAAAATTTTCTACCGTGACAAGTCTAATCCCTCACACATACAAAAAGCAATGTGTCATCATTGTTCTGTTATGTATGATAGAGTAAAGGCTGTCTGTCAGCTTAAATTCTAGTCAAAACAAATGAGGACAGCACAAATGTAGTGACTCAACTTTGATGCATTTATCATTTGTTTATAAATTATTAACACTAACGGAAATGCATTGATCATGTCACTATGGGATTGAAACAATTGAATAGAGTTCGTCAAGGCCGCTCAGTAAAAGTCATAGGCTTTTTTAACACCAATACCAATCACAAATTCAAACTTCACTTGGACCAACTGATACAATAACAATCAGCGACTGGTTCCTTTTCTTAAATTGTTTTTGTTTTTTTCACACAGTTCCAACATAAGAGGCCTAAATAAGTTAGTGTTACCATACCCACTATTCGAACATACTATCACATTCCTTTCTATTACATTGCATTCACTTGAGAGAAAAAAATCTGTTTTTCTGAATTAACGAGATCATTATCTCAGAATTCTGAGATATGATGTTGTTAATAGACAAAAACAGGATTTTTCTTTTTTTTTTTTTTTTTAACCTTTTTTCAGAATTCTGAGATAATGATCTGAATCGTTAATTCAGAAAAGCAGAGCAGTTTGTTTTTTGGGTTTTTTTAGAAAACTTTTCTCAGAACTCTGAGATAATGATCTTGTTAAAATAGAGCATGTTTTTTTCCGTAGATTCTATATTGTGCTACTCATTTTTTTTTTTTTTTTTACACAATTGATTGCATCTCATTACCTGTGACACAAAGTAACTTAGTAGATTTACTATCACTAATAATCTCAGTGGCCCCAACAGCATCTGTTTGGGATCCATGGCCATGTTTAAAGGATATAACCCCACTAAACTTCTCACATGGTTTCATTTGAATATTCGTTTGAGCCACAAAGAGGTAAGACTATCGGTTATTTCATAGAAAAAAATTAAAGAAAGGTCCAAAAAACTAAAACAGTTTTGTAAGGCAGAACTTTGTTTTTTCTTCTTTCCTCTTCCATTAATCATCTCATGACCCCACAGATTTATCTGTTGACCCTTAGGAGGGCCCTGACCCCTCAGTTGCAAACAACCGGATACGCAATCATATCTTAATTATAAAAATAGATCCACCTCAACTAGCTACAACAGTACAAGACATTTTGCATTAGTATTAACAATGTAATAATCTCAAACACAATTTTTTAGAGTAGAATGAGAACTTTTCCTTTAGGAAAGGAAAAAATAATAGCTCCATTTGCTTACAACATGCTAATAAAGAATGCCAGAGCTCACTAAGTACTAGCAGCCTGCTGTGTAGCTGACAGGAGTCAGTCGGTGAACTGGAGTCCCACATGGACACACTCCCACAGTGGTCACCAGGGCCATCTTAAGCCTGTGTGGGGCTGGATAGGACCATAAGCTGCCAGCAAAAGCTCTGAGAAGGAGCTCGTGCAGCGAAATCAATGTTGGAGTGACAATTCTTTGCTTGGCTATTTTATAAGTGTTTGTATATCCGCTGGTATCGATTGACTCTTGATTGATCGGAGTATGCCTACTGTGGGGGGAAAACAAATGCATCTCATTGCCTCCTTAAACACTTTAATCACTTTTGCCAACTGTAATCAAATGAAATAATGGCAGGGACACATGCATGCCATGAATTAGATCAACCCTTCGTCATCCATGTAACATTTCCTGTGTAACATTTTGAATGCATACCCCAACTACATGAAATGCCTGTTGTGGCCTGTTTTTCTTCTAATTAAAGTCAAAATGCAAAATTAGCCATCTGGCCTTCTGTTCTCTCATAGTCTGAGGCTTCTGATACACTGTAACCTACAGCACCATGGCAGAACGAAAATATAAACCAGATGCACATTCGCTTGATGTTCCTTACAAATAAAACATAACCTAAACCAACTAAAACAAAAGGCCAACAAAGGAGATAAACACTACAAAAAGACCAGGAAATACAGTTAAATTAAATCATCAAATGTTATTTGCATATCGAGGATCTATAGATAGTATCAGAGTAACAGGCATTAAAGTAAGCAGGTGTAGGTGGCATTGTGATTTATGTCAATGTATTAAACTAGTTTTCTCTTTGTGCTTTGACCCAGCTGTGTTTCAAAATGTCAATGCATGCATATTAACCACAATATATTATATCACTGTACTAAATTTATCTAGGGTTACAGAATAAGGAGGTTAGGCATACAAGGAAAACATCTCTAGGACGTACCTCTGTTCAGAATTCAGCGCTTAGTCGAGGTACTTAAAATAATTGGCCTATATTTGGGCAGTACTGTATCTGCCTTTGCACAATAATGAAGTAAATCAATCACTGTGCTCGGTTAAAGCAAAAAGGCGAATATCTTGTGCTTCTAAGTTAGAGGGATTTTCTTACTTTGAATTGTATCTTACTTTGCCAAAAATCACTGTGCTCTGCATGTTAAGTAGACTAGAATAGAGATTCCAAATATAAAATACAAATTTGTTTAAGGCTCATGAAAATGTTTCCACTCTGGAGGGATTAAAAATAGGAATCAGCTAAAATGGGGGATGGAGGGGGTCACTTCAATCACTGCTTTCACTGCATGTTTGTATTATCCAGAGCAGTCAGTGACTAGGAGCAAGGGCTGACCAAAAACCAGTTTCACACTAAATGTTTTGCCTGCTCTTCCCTGTTTCTTTAATCAAATGCACATTTTCCTGTCCTCTGTAATAAATGTCTTCCAAGATGGTGTATGACCAATGATTTCAAAAAGCAATAATGCAGAGAAATGGATAAACCCCCCGCCCACCCCCCCCCCCCCCACTCCCCCCCAACACACACACAGGATGCTCTGGAAAAAGAAACTGTGTCGTCTAGTAAAATTCCATCAGCATACACTCAAAAACCGCCATAAAAACCTTTTCAATCTATATGTTAATGCCACGAATTAAAATTTAATAACATGAGATATTGAAAAGCAGACGAATTATACAAAAATAAATCCTGAAAGATCAGGCCCCTAAAATTAGAAATTCAGGGCGGCATCCGGTCTGCTGCTAAACCCTTGTAGGCTGGCAGATTAAATTTTTGATGAAAATCAAAATTACACTGCACACTGACGCAGGCGCAGCAAACCTGGCACTATTGTGATTTATGGATTCATTAAACCCGCGGGAGTTTCACCCCTCCCCTTTTCACTCAAAGAAATGAGATTTGCTTTGCTGAAAATTTGTATTTTCAGAAAAGCTATTCAGGCTCTGCTCTACCTTCAGAAAATGGTCAAGGAAAAAAAGAAGCTTCTGTGTACATAACCACTGCACGTAAACAGGCCTAATTTTCATTGCTGCAGCAATTGAACGTCCTTATGCATTATTCATGAAACCAATAAGGTTCATTTTTACAAAGGAAGAGGCAGGAAAAATATGTGCAGAATGCACAGAATTTTTTTAATGCAGCAGCCCCAACCCCTGAAAAGCCTTTCCCTAGAGACTAATTTAAGTGAAGCCATTTTCAGACATTTTCAACATGCCATTAAGAAAATAACAGAACATAAAATCTTCACCATGTTTAAAAAGCATGTATGTTTCTTCAGACATATCTAAGCACAAATCATGAATCTGTAATTGTACATTAACAGAAAAGTATTGGCATGACATCAAAGACAGAAACTGTCTGTTAAACAGCCCTCACCCTATAAGTAGAAAACAAAACCTCTTTACTAAGTTGATGACAATTACAGCAGCAACTATGTTTCAACCACTGTAACCCTCAGTCTGTGATACAATCCCTCACCATCTTGTGTTTATCACAGCCTGGAGGAACAAGTTTCACCTCTCTATCCAAACTATTCGCTCCAAATATCCTCAGTGAAACAAAGCTTTTGTTCATGTACTGACAGACCAGCATTCCTCTTACCTTACTTAAAATGAGAACACTCCCAGAATACAGTTCACATTAACCAAATCAGGGTTTAAGGTGTTTTTCATTGCAACACTGCAGCATTATGCCTGAAAGCTTTATAACTTATTACTTGGTCCTTCAGGTATTCTGCATATAAACATTCCCATCACTAACACGGTAATCCAACCCTATTAAACTCATGACACTGGTTGCCTCTCTCCAGTTTTGTACTTTAACTGAAACTGCTGCATTTAGATAAGACTTTCCGACCAAAGGTCAGAATTTACACCCAGATTTTGCATACCAGCCATACAATTTCCACCGGCTCTTTGAATTCATAAAGATTTGAAGGTCAGCATTAAAATTACCCACAGCAAAATATGGCCTCCACAGTTTCCCTTACATTAAAATAAAAGCAAGCCATGCAAGATGGGAAACTGTTTGGCGTCTGCAGGATTAATATAAACATTAGAGGCACTGGTTGTGATTGTTTTTCCTGCCCTCAAATTATGCTGACTTGGTCTTTCTTCTTCCAGTCCTGTTCAGTTCACTTTGGATAGTTATTTTCCGCTTACACATTTCCAATCTCTAGAAATAAAAGTCCAAATTGTTCCATGTTTACCAAGCAGTAAATTATATGTGTACACATCACAGCACACAAATACACATTCATACAAAAACAAACAAAGAGAAACAGTAAAATTACAGTTGATGTGGATGTTAGATTGAAGAGATACAGGACAGATTTAACAGATATTAGTTTTCTCATCTTTTTTCTCCCATAGTACAATCACATTACAAGATTTCTGTTTTTTTAAAACATGCTTCAACCTTAAGCAAACCAACTGAAGGCTATAGTCATTATGAAGAAAGCCACAGAAAGGGGGGCAGAATTAACATGCACATTGCTTTGAATGCAGTTATTCTAAGGTCATTTTCCATTAATTTGCATGATAAGCACATGGTATAGTGGTTCAATTTTATTTCATTTACTGAATTCCCATAAACTGACATTCAATTCAATAAACAAGTCTCAAAACTAGTCTCATTACAATTTTTTAATTTCTCAAAATGACCGCCTACAGGTGGCGCCAATGACACCTAGATTTAAAATCCTCTGTCTTCCTAAAAATAAAAGTCAAAACGTATTTTGACTAGACGACACTTTTGTGTTTTCTCTTGTCCGTCAATAATGACTAGCAAGCCGTCAAATAAGACCAAAAGTGGCGTTAGTCTCGTGTGACTCTCAGAGGAACAACTCCGGAGCTCTGCTCAAATTTGCAGGAAAATTCACAAAACATGGCTGCAGGAGGTTTTTGTGTTTCAGATTGTTCCTCCCCTCATCGTCCTTCATGTTGCCACTATCGCCTGGTCCCCTTGCTCTATAGGAATATACCCCGTGTTTCTTACCTAGGTGGTGGACAGCCGAACAAACTAGGTGCACAGACGACTAGTCAGCAGTTACACGGAAACTTCATTACGAAAATTCAGTCAAAAAACATCAACAGATTAGGTCTATTTCGGATGGCTTCAGAGCCTGCACCTGGTTTAGTGGCAGGCAATAGTGCAAAGAGACTGCCAGGTCTCGTTTATTACGTAGTGGGAACAGAAACTTAACATCCGCCACTGAAATTTCTCAAATTTAGGATTTCTAAATCAGAAAAAAGAAAACACAGCGGTTTGACATACCTCCAAAAACGATGCAGCTCATGCGAAACAGGCTCTCGCTCCAGAAATCTTCCCTCCCCGACCAGAGGTGACTGCACAACTGCTTCCCCAAAAAAATTGTGAATTAGTTATGAGAAATTCCAAATGTTAAAAATTTTTACTACGGCGTTTTTTTTCCCCCGCGACACGCTACGTTACATTTTAGTAAAGAGTAATGGCGTAATAAATCATGTATTTGCCGAGGTTTTCTCAGTCCGTGCAGGCTCTCCGTTTCTGCCTTGCACACGGGGTTTGTGTTGCGGTTCCTCCTGTGGAAATTTTCGTCCGCCATATACAAGGGCAGATTCCGAAATTGCAGCGCCGGCCTGTGTATTAGCCTACATGAAAAAAAAAGAAAAGAAAAAGGAAAAAAGTCTGGGAAGAAGACAGAAAAAATAGGTTGGACGACCATGAAGTTTCACTGGGAAAAAAGAGACTGGAAATTACGCAGAGGGAAAAATTCTCATGTGAACTGAGAACATTATAATAGCAGACATTACTGCGGCTCCACACTTTAATCTATAAAAGACAATGGGCTGTTTGATTCATGTAGTGGCTTCTGATTAGGTTAATGTTTAATCCCATTTTGTTCATGGACAATTTCTGTGTAAAGCCACCACTGCCTCCTTGTCAGATAAACGTTTATGTTTTGCTGATGTTTCCTGATGTTTTTTATTGTTAAATGGAAAGTTCCAACCCTCCATGAGTTGTTTGTTTCAAAACTGTTCCGCACTATTAGTTCAATGTACGCAATTAAACAAAAATGAAAACTATTCTTACAAGCTATTTCCAAAAAAGAAAAGTGGCAATTAATTCACTAAATCCACTAATGTTAGTTCTGTTCACTCCAGCAGTCTCCACGGTTTGTGTTAATGTTACTTGTTAAGAGCATGTTTTGGTTGGCCAACAAATTTTTATTTCAAAACCCCACTCAGAATTAACAATCTTTTTTTTTCTTTTAAAATACTTCAGGTTTTGTTTCTAGACACAAAAACATATTTAAAGAACTATATTTGGCTTGTCAACTACTAATAATAATAAGTATTTGACATGAATCCAATGTACATGTATAGGCTGTAAGTGAGAAGGTTGACTTACTTTGACTAGATAATATAAATGCAATACAATAAAATATATACAATAAAAATAAAAATAATGTGAAGATTAAGTATGTTCTATTGTTATTATATTATATGTATTATAACATCTCTGATGCAATAAAGCAATATTTTCAATGAGGAGAAACAGTATTAGCCAGCAGTAATGCACTAAATACTGAGAATGTTAAGGCTATTTTGTGCTTTTTCAAGCCTTTTATTCTCTACAATATTCTCATTTATTCAATGGTGAGGATAAGGTGGACCGCAGCTAAGAGGTACTGATTGTCTTTGCCTTCTACATTCAGAGTGTCAAATTGTCCCATTAGGAACCTCTGAAAACCTCTGCATACTTCTCATGAGGGACATTAATGCATATGAAGAATTAATAGATTAATTAATGACCAAATTCATTATTTAATAAATCATCAAAGTAGCCAGCAAATCAATTAATTAATTAATCAATTTGTGATCATTCATTAATTAGTAAATATAGGTTTGAGGTATCAGAACATACAGTCCAATAAATTAAAATCCAGAGTGATTGACACTTTTAAACTGAAAAAAGAGAAATAAAGCTTCAAATGTGAAATTCATTAATTCAGTATTATTTCATCACCTGCTGTCCACCCAGGATTTACTTTCTGTCAATAAGACTTATTTACAATCTAAAGTATTCACTCCCCCAGGACGTTTCATTAGGACGAGTCATTGTATTGACTGGTTTTAAATCAGAGGGACTGTACGAGTCAAAAACAAAACTAAAAGTGAATCTAAAAAAAACAAAAGGATTTAAAATTTATGTAAAAAGCAGAAGTAAAAATGAAAGTTAAAAAAAAACAAATCTTTACAAAGCAATCTAAAGTTAGTTATTAAAAAGTAGCAACCAAGGGAAGGATACAAGACAATTTCCAAGGCATCAAATATCCCTTAGAGTACAGGTCAAACAAAAATATGGCATAGCTACATAGCTATGCCTCCTTAAAATTGAGTATCCCTAAAAGAAGGGTCCTAAGGGAGGTCACCAGGATACCTAAGGCAACTCTGAAAGGGCTGCAGATGTCTGGGTGCTTCATCAATTACTTCCTTACAGCAATGTGTCAAAGACAAAGTCACATAACAGTCATGATATCAGTGACATTTGGGATGATGTTTTTCAGTTGGTACACCTGAGTAAAAATGGAAGAATCGGATCAGAAATATGTTTTTGGAGCATCATAGTGAACACTCTGCACATCAGCAGAAACAGCATCCCTGCCATGAATCCCAGCGGAGGCAGCATCATGCTGATGCTTCTCTGCAGTAGGCCCTGGAGGGCTGGTGAGGGTAGGGGGTCAAATGACTGCAGCAAAATATAGAGGAATTCTGGAGGAAAACTTGCTGTGTTCTGCAAGAGAACTGCAACTTGGGAGAAGAGTCCAGAGCTCATCCAATCAAGAATTTGTGCTAGGTGACTCATATCCCATGTGCAACTATACAGAGCTTCAGCAGTTTTGCAAAAAATAATGGGGAAAAAACAAAAGTTTGTCCAGATGTGAAAAAGTGATTCAGACCAACCAGAAAGACTGAAGGCCGTCAAAGCTCAAAAAGATACCTCTGCTTAACATTGACTTGAATGGGTGTAAACATCTATGCAATCATGTTATATTGGTACTAATTTATACTAAATTTATACTACTATCAATCTGTAGATTTTCACCTACGTCAAAAACTCCAATTACATTAACTGATTTGATGACTTATTGTTGTAAAACCACACAGGAATAGGATGAATCCTTTTTATAGGCACTATGTCCATTATTTAAATTAATTTCCCTTTCCTCATGAGTTTAGCATGATTTAGTTTTTACCTTTAATATCAAATGAAGCTAGGCTGTTTTTCTTTTTTTTTTCCTCAATATGCAGATTATTGCCCCCAAATACAGTCTGGTATAAAGATATGATATATGGGCTGGATTCAAACCCCTGCAGTCAACACTCAGCTTTGACGTGGTACACAGAAACACAAATCAGTTTAATCTACATATATTTCAGAAATACTTTCCTCTCGTTATCAGGATGGAATTATTTTTGTCAGTAATACTGCATTGTTTTGTATGCTATTTCTATCACAGCTGTAATTAGTAACTGGTGGTGTGATTTAGTGCATCAGTTATATACAGTGAAATATTTATGATCTATGCCTTGAATTAAACACTGCAAGAACCCTATTAATGCTCTGTCTCTCTTGCTCTCTTGTGCTGCATTTATTTTCTTTGTCCAGCAGAGAGCACCAGCATACCAATGAATAGTCACTTCCATTGCTCCTATTCCGTGGCCAGTGAGTATAGTAAATCTGTACATTAATACCTGCTCCCTTTTTGCTCTGTCTCCCTCTGCTGTTAATGCTTTGCAAAGTTCTGACCCGTCTCATCTCATCAGTTTCAGATATATTGCCTCTGAAGTCTGTTCTTTTTGCCTTCCCTTGGGTAGCATGTTTTTTGTGGCCCCCGAGTTCAGGCATTTCATCATCCATTCAGGAAGGTTCATCATCCATTCTCAGAGCACTGTGGTGATTTTTAGATGGCGCTGTTATGATAAACAGCATAATGGTGACGGCAACAGCAAATGGTGCCATGATATTGCAGCTAATGGAGCTTTTTATGCTGACCATTAAATGCTCTATAGAACAGGAACAAAATCAAAGTCAAGCAAAGTCAAGTAGCTAGTGGAGGTGATTAAGAAGTAGAATGATATGGTCAAATTTTTTGGTCCAAGTCAAGATGTAGGTTGCAGCTTTCTGAATTACCTAAAAAAAAAAGTTTAAATGGCTTTTACAGAAAAACTTCACAGCGGCCATGGATAAGTGTTTCCAGGTCTGACTGGGAAAGAAAGTATTGAATATTTGCATATTGCTGAAATGATTGAAGGCTCTTTTGGTAATGCTGCTGACAGATGAGCAAAAATTTAGGTTAAAGTTAGGATTAATTATAGCTCCCAGGATTCTTTGTTTGTAGATGGGAAATGCATGAAGTCAGTGGTGACAGCCTGATCCCTCACAAGTTGTGTCCAAGACAGATGAATATCAAATCACTCGATGTTGTTACAAGACGTTCTCTACTTATTCCACAGTGATGACGTCAAAGGCACTCAATTCTGAGGTCTTATGTTCAACTGAGACTAGAGTCAAGGAGTGAAGGATCATTCATGAGGAACAGTTAGAAATTATTCACAGCATCCATTGACTAATGGGAACAACACTGCTGCTGAAACATTTGGCAGCTCAGAATTTTGGGATGAAACCTATTGTATCAACCGTGTGTCCTTAATATTATAAAACACACTATCTTTTCTCTATAATTTTTCACAGCTCAAGGTTGGCCTGACCTCCTCTCAGCCTACTTTTTGAAAAATATTCCTTCAACTGGCAGAAGGACCAACAGGTGAGAAAGGCTGACAACAAGGATGCTATTTTTTTCCTCAGTGACCTACTTGGGCTCGAGTGCCGCCAGACCTTTGCTGCATGCTCAAGAGCTCGGCATAAATTAGTAGATAGTTCCCACCAAGCCGATGCCACTAAAATCTAGGTCTTCCAAAATTTGACAAAAATAACATGCATAAAGAGAACAACAACGTACAGATGCACTTTTGTGCCATGGGGGAAAAAAATGCAGAAATACTGAGAGCTAAAGAATACGTTAACAAGTTAATGTGTGTCTGAAGTTGACTGTATTTACAGTACCTTTGTATGCCATAATCATTACAGTTCCACGAACAAAAATTTCACAAAGAAGGAAAACTTATATTTGAATCATATGCAGGCATATGTTACCGTATAGTCTTTTTATCTCAACATGTCTAAAGCTAGAATTACTTTAGCTCTGCATGACTTTTAAAGCAAGACCGTCACTCAGTCTTCGTCACTCTTACAAATGAAAAGTTGACTTCATAAGCAATAAAATGCACCCTTGTTTAATTCAGTACACTCAGGAGTTTTGCTACCACACCTTGCTGTTTATGGAATAAATGTTGTCATTACCTTTATCTGTAATTGGTTGCAACAGATCTTCTTCACAGCAGTCATTTCGTCATGGTGGGAAAAGCACAGGTGTTACTAATAACATTAACGATCACTGTGTTTGATTCAAGTGTCCCAGTTACCCATGACAACAGAACTGTTAGCCAGCGTGCACATCATTAGGACCCTGAAACAGATGCAG